GAGGGTCAGAGGGAGAAGCAGACTCCCTGCTGAGCAGGGAGCCCGATGCGGGACTCGATCCTGGGACGCCAGGATCATGACCTGAGGGGAAGGCAGTCGCTTAACCAACTGAGCCACCCAGGCGCCCCTAAAACATACTTTAAAAGCTTAGTTCTACATTAAGCTTCTTCTCTTCCCCCAGATCCTTAATGGGTTTATACTCTGTAATTGTTTTAAACAAACACATCATGTCAAACTAAATTATATAGATGGGCAGTTAATGTGAAAAGCCTTCTAAAATGTACAAACTAACTGGTACTGAATTGTGAGCTCTTTAGTTCTAATAGTTTTTTGTTTTTTTTTTTAGTGGATTCCTTAGGATTTTCTACATATAAGATCATGACGTGAATAGAGACAGTTTTACTTCTGCCTTTCTGTATTAGTTTCTCGGTGCTGCTGTAACAAAATTCCACAAACTAGGTGGCTCAAAATTACAGAAAGTTATTTTTTTTTTTTATAGTTGTGGAGGCTAGAATTCCAAAATCAAGGTGCCACCTTCTGGAGGCTCTTAGGGAAAAACCATTCAGGCCTTTCTCCTACCTTCTGGCAGTTGTCAGCAGTCCTTGTCATTCCTTGGCTTGTGGCAGCACATTCCTAATTTTTGCCTCCATTGTCACATGGTGATCTCCCTGTATGTGTGTCTCGGTGACTTTTTTCTTTTCTTTTTTTTTTTTTTTAAGATTTTATTTATTCATTTGACAGAGATAGATATAGCGGGAGAGGGAACAAAAGCAGGGGGAGTGGGAGAGGGGGAAGCAGGCCTCCCGCAGAGCGAGGAGCCCGATGCGGGGCTTGATCCCAGGACCCTGGGATCATGACCTGAGCCGAAGGCAGACGCTTAATGACTGAGCCACCCAGGTGCCCCTGTGACTTTTTTCTTTTAAAGACACCTGTCATAGTGGATAGGGCCAACTCTAATCCAGTATGACCTTCTCTTAACTTTATTACATCTAAAAAGGCCCTATTTCCAAATAAGGTTACATTCATGGTACTGGGGTTAGGACTTCAACATATCTTTCTGGGTGACAGAATTCAGTTTACAACACTTTTCCTTTTTTTTTTTTTTTTTTTAAA